TTTATGTTAATATTTTACCTGATACTTTTTTTTCATTTAAATATTATATTTATTTTCTTTCAATAGTAAAATAATTTTAACTTTAACATTCGACTAACTCTGTTAAATATTTGCAAAGTTTTGTAGTAGACTTTCGGGCTGTACGATTAAGATTACCTATATGGAAATCCAGGAAACTGAAATGAAAATCAGACTCTCAGTATACTCTTATGCTATTTTATATAATAATAATATTAAGTTATTTTCAAAATATTATAATAATTATAGATAATTATATATAATTATATAGCATATTTTAGATAACAAATATAGATCATTCTAAATAAATATAAAATATAAATAAATTCCCATTATGAATCAAGTCACTAAAGTAAAACCCGCTGCTGCTAAAAACTGATCTCTCTAGTCTAATCTTAAGGGATCCCATTGGAGTGCTCCAAATACCCATTTCAAGTGATAATCGCGCCTATAAAAACAAATTAAACTTCCATTTTGATGTCTCGTTCAGGGACTTTGCCAGGACATGCCAGACAACTCCTTGAGCCCCATTTGCCTGGCTTGAGCTACTGCGTGGCTGTGTGGCTCTGCTGTGGCGTGTGGGTTGAGTGGAGCGAACTTCCGCTTCGGCTAAATGAAGTTAGCTTGTTGCGACTTATGCAAAAGTTTTCAATTGCCTTTTATTATTGTTGTTTTCCTTTTATTTTATTGCTGCTGCTGCTGCTGATGCTGCTGCGGCTGTTACTCGACTCGCGCTGAAGTGAAATGCAAATTTATTCAAAATGTGAAGCAGCCAGAAGTTCGCACCGCTGTCAGAAAGTTGTCTGGATTAAGGTCTATGGCCATAATTAAATACACACTTTTTCCCATTTATATTTGCATTCCGCTGAATAATTGCCTTTAATTTCGCTGCTAATTCGCCTTGTCTTTAAGTCAAACACATTCGAAAGTTTTAACCTCAAATTAAAGAGAAGAGCGGCGCCCGAAATTAACTGGAGCTGATGATATATATAGATAAAATTAAGTATACATAATTATAAAGGAATGAGGTGTGCTAAAGACATGTCTCGTATATTGTTTAAGGAGGATAAATATAGAAATATATGAATAAATACTAAAATAAAGAAAATATAATCCAAAATAATAAATCCAAGTCTGCTGCGATAAAAAAAAAGGATTTCTTAATATATTTATATTTGAAATGTCAACATATGTTGCTTCACAGTTGTAAAATTTCTTTCTTTTTAAGCGAAATTTTATGTTGAACCTAAATTAAAAGTAAGAAGTAAGGAATACCATGGGTGATGTGCGTCCGTTGCAATACGATATCAAGTGGGACACGTGGAATAACATGCCCATCACAGACATTCACTTCAAGCAAGTAGAGTCTAGTTGACCAGTTGAATACACTAACCAACAGGGCTACTAACAGGAATTATGAGCTCGCCATTGAGTTCATGTGGGAGAATTCGTTTCTGCAGAGCATCGTATACGAGGGCCTGGGTCTGCACGATCTGATGGAGATGAAGCCTATCTATCACGAGTATTGTATGCATATCTTGCGTAATGAATGCTCGGTTATGATGCTCGACGAAACGGAAACGAAGATTCTGGCAGTGGCTCTGCTCGAATGGATGACCGACGCGTGGCATTCCTGGTACATAAATAGAGAAGAGAGAGAGAGACAGAGAGAGAGAGAGAGAGAGTGACAGGGACTTATATATATATATAGCAAGCTAATTGATCATTTTACAGGGTGTTTCTGCCCGCCTTCGTGGAGAGAGGACTCTTTCAGCGTCTGATCGAACTAAAGGCGGACCTAATGGCCGCCACCAAGAAGAGCCTACAGCTGGAGAGCTTTGATTCCCTGATGGTGCATGAGATTGGCTTCCCAGCCGAATTGTATGAGGATCAAGACTTTCAGATGTGTATCTATGATGTGTTTGCCATGGTCGCTCAGCACATGCACATGCCACGTGTCTGCTTCATCGCCCTCACCACCAAGGATCAGTATACCGCCGAGTTGGCTGACTATATGGAAATCGGCAGATCCATCTATTCCATTTATAAGGTCGACAATAATCGCCCATTCGACTGTCTGCGTGACCTCGACGAGATGTATGCTCTGCTCTATATGCTGCCTCTGACTCCGATTCGCCATTACCTGGAGTGGCGTGGCTTCGAGGCCTTCCACGAAGCGCTCCTGGCTCAAGAGCGAAGGGAAAGGGAGGAAGAGCTAATGAGACAAAATGAGGCGTGATACAATTTCCTACACTCGAGCTCGTCAATATAGTCATTCACTGGTCATATATTACATAAGAATCATATTTATAATAAAGTCAATACTATTTCTGACCAAATTTATTAATCTTACTCTTAATGTAATTCTTTTTTTTTTTTTTTATTTTTATTTTATTTTATTTTTTTTTTTTTTTTAATAATAACTGAAAATGAGAATAACAAGAATTACATTCTCAGTTATTACTTTTTATTTTTTTCCTTTCCTATGCATTCACTTACTTTCTGCTTGGTTCCACATTCTTTCCCTTTCCCTTTCTTTCATTTTTCCAATCTCTTCTTATCAATTTCTCTTTCTTTAATCTCACTTCACTTCAGTCTTCAGCTTTCCTGCTCTCTACTTGTTATTAATTTTCTCTTTATTTTTCCATTTCTGACCTTTTCTTTCCTTCAATGTCTTCTCTTCAATTTTTGCCTTATTTATTATTGTTCTACTTTTAATCTAAGCATTTTTATCTACATTTTTCTTTATAAACTTATCTCTCACAAAATTCTGCTTATATCTGCATCCCAATCGAATCACTATATAAGAAGAAGAATTTCAATATTTATTAAAGCTAACGGAATCGATTGATATTTCGTTCGTGTGAAATGATTTCACGTAGTAATATCAAAGAGCTCATAGAGAACAGAGAGCATCGCTGATCGCAGCGGTGATAATAAGCTTGATAAGCACGAGTTTATTGTATATTTATGAAGATGTTTACATGTAGTATGCGAGAGTCTCATGCCCAAGTTGTTTTTATTATGGCAACAACTACTTGATTTCTGCTGATAAGACCCCAGCCAGCACAGCAAGTCGATCACTACAGCTTGGCTTTGACTCTGGCAGCTAGCAACAGGTTGAGGACATCGTCGGCACAGCCCCAGCAGAGGGTGACTCCGCTGCCGCCGTGTCCATAGTTGTGTATGAGCAGCTTGTTGCCACGCCGCTCCGCCTCCAGGCGCAGCTGGACGCGACCCGGCCGCAGCCCAACCCAATCGAACAAATGCTCCGAGTGCTTGAGGCCTGGCAGCAGGCTGCGACAGCCGTCGATGATGAAGCGCTTATCCTTCGCACAGACATCGGTATTGTAGTCCCGCTCCTGGTGAGTGCCACCAAGCACCACAGACTCGGTGCTGTTCGAAATGGAATATCAATATGGATGGTATATATGCAGATTGTTAAAGCATCGAACTTACTTTGGTATGATGTAGTTGCCATCATCGCTTTCATCTAGGATCGCGGTGAACACCCAATTGGCCCTGACGCGGCTAACTTGGCCACGTACCGAATAGACGTCATCGTCGTTCAGCAGCTGCCTGGAGCCAAGGCCGGTGCAGTTGACGATCACATCGTAGGAGGACTCTCTGACAAAACTCTCGAGATCTGTGATTTTTCGCTGCTCAACTTGGCCGCCTCGGCGCACAAAGCGTTTCATCAGGTAAGGCAGCAGCTTGATGGGTTCCGAGGTGTAAGTAACAAAGGACATGCCGCTACTGTAGTTCGAGCTTTAGACATGCGAAAGGGTCGATATGAATGGACTAACACTTACGTGAATTTGACGTCTCTGCCCTTGTTGTAAACTTCCAGTTGTTCAGCTGTTAGTTCTACAGCTCCGTAGACAATATCACGCCAGAAATCGCCAACGATGACATTCGAATCTGAGCTGAGGCGCACGCAGGGCACCAGACAAACACCTGCCTCGCCCGCATCTTCGCTTAGCCAAATCTGTTCCAGGAATAGGTGCATATCCCTTGACCACTTGCTGTTGAAGAAACTCTCAGAATGGATGTACCCACATAATATATATACATTTTATAACACCTACTGAACTTTAGACTCATCTGTGCCGCCCAACAGAAAGGGTCCCCATAGACCCGCCGATCCGTCGCCCGTCGTATTGGGCGTGAATAGCTCCGACAATATGGTCACCTGCACATTTAGCTTCTTCTCATCCTGATAGTGCTCCAATATTTTGATGGCACTCGCAACACCGTTCACACCCGCCCCGATAACAGCTACTCTCAGCATGATTCCGTCTGCGCAGACTACTCAAGCAATACTAAATTACTACGGCTGAGTGCAGTGCCTCTATCAGCGAAATATTTCCACTCAAAATAATCAATTGTAATGAGCTCTACTATACGGCTCATGAAATCACCTCTTCCGCCCTGACTTTACACTTCGACAGTTATATTTGAATAAATAAAAATAAGAATAAAAAATTAATGTAAATGTTATATTTAAGCCCTAAACTATTGAACATAAGAAATCAGGGTATTATGGTTTTGTCAAAATGTACGCAACAGGCAGAAACAGGCGTGGCAGTCCCTTTAGAGTATATGCTTATTTACGATCGACTTCCCTCTCTCCGTCCGTCTGTCTAGACGTCTGTATAGACGGACGAACGGGTAGACAGAGCTTATATCAGTTATAGGATCTGCGACGCCTACTTCCGCTTATTAATGATTTATTTAGGTTGTAAAAAAAATATTTTCTGGATCTGTAAATACCCTTACTAGAGATCTCTTACTTTAATTTATTACGCCTTTTCTGGAAATGATAATTAATAAATTGTAACGGATGAAGACACTTTTATTTTTATATTCATTTTCTATTACAGCTCTGTTATATTCAATTTGCTTGAACCCAATTGTCTTAGCAGGCATGGAAAGTTCGTTCGTTCAAACGCTTTTCAATGAATGGAAAATGTAGTTATATTCAGTCAGTTTTCTCCGAGCCTTTCGAGCCTTTGCTTCAACTCGCTTCTAAATTAAAACAAAATTTCTATTTTCCTTCAAATTTTAATCGCAATTCAAGTCAATTTCAAAATGTGCGGAAGCGGTTGTGGAGGCTGTGGCCCATGCGGAGGCTGTGGCCCATGCGGTGGTTGTGGACCCTGTGAGTTCATTGCCATTCCCGACTTGGGATCTAGATATTCCACTCATTCTGAAGCTTGTCCGATTCGAAATAATGCAACAGAGCAATAGATTTATCCTTCAATCGTCCGCCCGTCCGTCCACCAGTCCATCTAATTTGGAGCGCTACAGCAGGGCTGAAGAGCATTGTGTGTAGATCGTAATGAAAACATTCTTTTTCAGGCTGCGTCTGTCCCACGCGCTACTTGAAGAGATCAGAGGAGCATATGCCCTGTGTGTGGTGTGCACCATGCAAAGCTCATTGCTACAACACCCCACCCAAGTGCTGTTGCTAGAGGCCTAAGAGCTTTGCATCGGTACGGAGTCTCCTTTAAGGAAAATCTTATAGCTAAATACCAACTCCACTACTTATCCTATTCTTACTGTCGAAAAATAAGAGGAATTATCGTAAGTAGCAATAGTACCTTATCTTATCTGATCTGACCTTTTCTGTCTATTCAAGCCAAGGTGATGTGAGCTTCGGTTAATAGTGATTGTAAAACTGCGAAGATCGTCAATTTGGAAGCAGGTTGGACCTAAAAGGATGGCAGAAGGCTTTTGAGCTTGAGCATGGACTCTCGAATATCAGGCATTACCATAAGGCATGGTAAATACTAAGCCAAACTTCTATCAACCGAGACTCTTGACTCGACTCATTAAAAAGAAGGTGGCCTCTATTCGTATAAGCGCATACGAATACGACCTGATCGAAAACAAAGTGTCAAGCTCATTTTAAATTGTCAAATTCAAAATCTTCAGTTTTGGAACTTTTATGAATAAAAATTCGGAATCTACAAAAAGTTTGTTCATTATTTTCTTCTATCTTTCTATCTTTTCTTCTATCTCAGTCGCAGTTACGTAAAAGACCTCACAATCAGGCAATACTTCTTTCTACGCATCTAATCTCAAGAGTTAATTACATTTCACACACTCGCAAGGTTGCCTAAAATAGGTCCTCTGTGGCTATATCTCAGGAGTCGTTCCGATGAATCAATTCGTTTCATCTACACTGCCATGGTTGTTACTCTATTATAAGATGACGCATTCAAATTCATATACTTTATATAATCCAAGTCGAACGAATTGTCTAATACGGCCTCGTTGGAACACATCTTATTTGGCTTTCTCTATACTAATAAAATTGAAAAATTTTACGGCACCTGATATGGTATAAAGCGGTTGGTCTATAGCTCCATTTATTCAGTTGTTTCAGTGGAGCCTCAAAATGAAATTTGTTGCTGTTCTTTTGTTCGTCTTGGGAGTTATTGATATACCAGGTAATTAATTTTGTGTTTATACTCATTCGCAAAAGTGAAATGAGTATATTGTTTTCTGCAATGTCCGTCCGTCTGTCTGTCCGCTATTGAGGCTTTTCTTAGGTAGATTCATGTATATTACGCGCAGGTCCAGCACGTTTCCCAAAATTGATATCTATTTCCGATTGATTTGAGCACTTTATCCCTTTTTTTTACAATAATTCCTTGAATGCCATATAAATTTGTTCCTTTTGTGAAAATAAATTTTTAAGTTCTCAGTTTTTCTAAATTTTTCAATACCCTTACTAGAGATTTCTTAATTCAATTTCAGGTACTTGCATTTCTCAAGACTGCGGTCTTCCACGGATATTATTGAGCTGAAATGAAAGCACCTTCTAATTAATTTATTTACTCGGATATTCTGAAAATGATACTAAATAAATAAATAATGAATATTTTATTTATTTTTTTTTTTTATATTATATATTAATTTTTATTATAGTTCTATTTCTTGCAACTTTTTTAGTATAATTTTCTTTTTATTTTGTAATAGCATTGAATTTTCGTAAAGTAGGCCTTGAATTCTATCTTCAAACGCTTTTCAATGAGACTTTGGCTCTACTGGGAAATGTAGTTACATTCAGTTAGTTTTCTCCGAGCCTTTCGAGCCTTTGCTTCAACTCGCTTCTAAATTAAAACAAAATTTATATTTTCCTTCAAATTTTAATCGCAATTCAAGTCAATTTCAAAATGTGCGGAGGCGGTTGTGGAGGCTGTGGCCCATGCGGAGGCTGTGGCCCATGCGGTGGTTGTGGACCCTGTGAGTTCATTGCCATTCCCGACTTGGGATCTAGATATTCCACTCATTCTGAAGCTTGTCCGATTCGAAATAATGCAACAGAGCAATAGATTTATCCTTCAATCGTCCGCCCGTCCGTCCACCAGTCCATCTAATTTGGAGCGCTACAGCAGGGCTGAAGAGCATTGTGTGTAGATCGTAATGAAAACATTCTTTTTCAGGCTGCGTCTGTCCCACGCGCTACTTGAAGAGATCAGAGGAGCATATGCCCTGTGTGTGGTGTGCACCATGCAAAGCTCATTGCTACAACACCCCACCCAAGTGCTGTTGCTAGAGGCCTAAGAGCTTTGCATCGGTACGGAGTCTCCTTTAAGGAAAATCTTATAGCTAAATACCAACTCCACTACTTATCCTATTCTTACTGTCGAAAAATAAGAGGAATTATCGTAAGTAGCAATAGTACCTTATCTTATCTGATCTGACCTTTTCTGTCTATTCAAGCCAAGGTGATGTGAGCTTCGGTTAATAGTGATTGTAAAACTGCGAAGATCGTCAATTTGGAAGCAGGTTGGACCTAAAAGGATGGCAGAAGGCTTTTGAGCTTGAGCATGGACTCTCGAATATCAGGCATTACCATAAGGCATGGTAAATACTAAGCCAAACTTCTATCAACCGAGACTCTTGACTCGACTCATTAAGAAGAAGGTGGCCTCTATTCGTATAAGCGCATACGAATGCGACCTGATCGAAAACAAAGTGTCAAGCTCATTTTAAATTGTTAAATTCAAAATCTTCAATTTTATAAACAATTCAGAACTATTATGAATAAAAATTCGGAATCTACAAAATGTTTGTTCATTCTTGTCAAACATATCCCGATATGCTTACGCTTGCTGTTACGTAAAAACTTTTTTTTTATTCATTTTTGTCTAGTTTATTACTCTTAGGCATGCTGTAAATGGAAACTATCTGCCGACGTAGTGATCTTATAATGATGCGTGAACAGTATTAAAGTTTTGTTTTTTCTCGATTTGTCACTTTAATATAATCGCATCATTATGTTAGCCTGTAATCTTAAACAAATAAAACATCAATTTTATTTCAATTGAAAAATTATATGATTTTCATACAGTTATATATACAAATTGTATGCTCGTTCTATCCGTTTATTCATCGGTTCATACGTACTGTTCAACTTAAGCCACATCTTTTATATGTGGAGTATGTGGAGCATTTTATTTTTTTCTTTTTTTAAAAGGAGTGTTCTTCAAGAAGTGCACCGACAAAACTTCAGGGAGCAAAGCGCTCGGTACCATCCTCATCTGACCGTCTCCAAGAGAATTTTTTCTAACCAACTTATCAAGACAGTAAATGCGTCATAGGTTTTTGAACCGTATACGATCAATTTCATTTTCTTCGCTAATCAAATTTGAAGAGTTGAAATATTTGAATCGTAGCGAGAAATTGGTCTATTCAGTTCTATCAGTGGAATCTTTAAAATGATATTAGCGCTTGTTGCCTTTCTCTTCTTCGGATTTTTTGACCTATCCTTGGGCTCACGGTTTAGTAAGAATAAAAAAATAAGTGTGTGCAAAGATGGATACTTCATTAGTTTTATTTTATTTAAGTTTAGCTGCTTGTAATGAGAGCTTTGCGGCTATTGGGACTTGTCATATGTTCTTACATAGATGGAGTTATCTTCTTCCAGAGGACAGCTGCAAATTATTTGTCTATAACGGATGTAATGGAAATAAAAATAACTTCCTTTCTCAAGACGATTGCGAGGATGCTTGCATGTAGGAGTTTTGCATAATGAAACGCCTCTATTTGCAATAAATGTATGATAGCAGATAATCTCTAATTTTCATATTTATAGCTTGACATCTCAAATTCATTTGATATTAATCTGATTGCAATATTCTCTTTGAGTTTTAGTGGAACCGTTTTTCATAGGCGAATCGATTATAGAACTAACTTTCAGTTTTATTTAGCTTTCGTTTACTTAGGAATCGGTGCGTCTCATGGAGAAATATTGCATTTGAAATAACAGAAACGCGATTATTCGAATTGCCAGCAAATGATTCAGTTGCATTTTACTAGATGACGGCGTTTAGTTTTTAGACTATAGGAAAATGCTAAAGCCCGAGACCCTAAACAGCTTTTGATGCATCAAGTATTCCATGAATTTAAAGTCTAGTTGATTTTCCATTTTTAAGGAACTAGGCTCTGAGACTTCCTCAAAATAGTCATTAGTTCTCTTTCGTTTGATCACTACACTTCGACTAGCTTCTAAATTCAAAAAAATAAATAATAAAATAAAATTTTATTTGTAAAAATTTAGAAAATAAAATTTTATTTTTCCTTTCGTGAACATCTAATAAAACCAAGTTTCAGAAAAATGTGTGGCCCATGCGGAGGTTGTGGTCCTTGCGGAGGTTGCGGTCCCTGCGGCCCCTGTAATCATTGGCCATGCTGTGGCCCTCACAGCCCGCCGTGCGGGGCACCTTCACCAATCCCGTGCTCGCCTGCGCCAGGCGTTTGCTGTCCGCCGTTGCCCGAAGGTGGTATTCCCGACCCCCGTGTCTGGAATTGTTGGAATACACCACCTACCTATCCATGTAAGTTGGCACTCGTTCGGTAATCGTACCAGCACCCTGTGTCTGATGTGCTTCATGCAGAGCTCGCTGCTACATCACTCTGCAAAAGTGTTCAAAAATATTTAATACGTGCTTTTCCCTGTGTCCTTCAGGTGGATTTTGATGAATCAACTTCGAGGCCCAACGCCATGAAGAAAACGTTGGAGCAGTGTGGGTGCTGTTTATCTATATAAACAGGAAAAAGGGGCGAGATAGCTGTATTTGTGAAACTTTTGGTTTTAAAATGATTGGAAGCAAGTTGAGTATGGAATGAAAAGTATACATAGCACCACTAAGTCAACCGATCCAACAAGACTGAACTATTCAAAGAAGACTGCGTTTGTACATGTGGCGCCTCGAACAGAATTTCATTACCACGAAATGTATGGTAGATACTACGTCAGACTTCTATACATCGTGGCTCGAGACTCGGTGAGGTAACAGAGAAGAATTGACAGAAATTTGACGAAAGCAGTCACGGCAAACAAAGTTTTTCATTGAATTTTAAATTGTGAAATTAGAAATTTGAAGTATTCATTATTAGATTTTTTGGAACTTTGGCAAATTATATTTTGGACCCTTAAAAATTTGTTCTTTTAATTTGAGGGTGTTGGGGCTTGGAACAGAATTTCCTATTCATAGACATGATAATCAATTAATCTAATCGCTTTTTATTAAAAAAAAAAAAATAAGAAACGCGGCTTAAATTTTAAAGGTTGAAATCTTTTTCGTTATCGATAGCTTGACAATCAACCACAGAAATTTTGTTCAGTATTTTTGTGTCAGTTCAGTATTTTCGTTCTGTTTTGATTCAAACATCTGGTCGCACTCAAAAACATCATTAATGTCGAATGACTAATGATTAATGACTAATGGTGTAATCAATTAATGCATTACCATGAAAATTTTTTGACAGCTTATGAAACTGTAGGTGGAGACTGAAAATAAGGGAATGTATACAGCAGCAGTCAAAAAAAGTTCACAAACAACAATTTATATTTTATGAAATGGGGAAAAAACTTCAATAATTCTAATCGAAAAGTTTTTTAGGATAGGACAATTATACATATACATACATATACATGTACTCATAAGTATAACATAGTTCTTTTAAGAATATAGGGTGGATAGTTGCTTAAAACTGATTTTTAATTCTGTACAATGTTATGCCTCATTAAAAATAAAAATAATATTTGCAGAAGTATATAAACCTATATAAAATGTGTTGCTATATTAAAAACTATTTCCCGGTCGTGCTCCTTGAAGTTTGTCCCTTGAAACTTGTTCCGTTTCCAATTCCAAAATGACATTAGTCAAAATCTTTTTCGCCTGTATCTGAAGATCCCGATCCAAGCGTCTAATGCTTTGTACAATGAAATTGCCATAATGAAACAATTCATTGGGTTCCGAATTGCTTTGCTCTGTGTTGGATGCAATGCTATTGACGTTGGTAATCGCGAGTCCACTTTCATTTAGGGCTCGTCTCTTCTTGGGAAGTGGCGATGGTTCCGAGTCGCTAGCTGGAAATGTCGTATCCGGGGAACTCTTTAAAGCCGTATTCACTAATGCCGATGGCTCAAATTCCTCCTCTTCCTTCTCTATGACAACTTGCGGGCTTTGAACGTCGTGTGCATTGAAGGAGTCTTCCGTATGAAAGCTGCTCTCATCCGCCATCTCCAATTTCTACAAAAAGCAAACCCAGATTTCGGTTTGAAGTGCCATAACAATTTGTACATAAGCAATTGCTCACTTACACCAATGTTGCCCTTCACAGAGTTGGTCAGAGATCGCTTGGAATTGGGCCATTGCAATATGAATTCCATTTTGGATTTGTTTTTCCAATCAAGTAATGAGCTCTTCTGATGCATATACTTGTAGTACGATTTCAAGTTGTTCCATTTTCTGCACACGTCAGCTGCGAGAAAGCCATACAATTAAATTCAAATCTATTATAATTATGGCAATATACTTGCTTTGCACAACATGAACAGCTGGGCTGTATTTAATGTTTATGTCGTCCGTCAACTTTTGCCAGAAATCGTTTTTCAGGTGCCTCAACTTGTAAAGTGGATTCGCTGGATTCCACAGATATTCCGCAGCTCGGACGCTATCAATAATAAAATCTGTCATTTCATCTGTAAACAATGACTCCATTTTTGATCCGATTTCTTCGCTAATTATTCTCTGTTCCGTTTGTTGTACACAAAATTGGTTGGCGTTCAGCGTCTCCATAATTACAATAAGCAAAAAGAAGAGTGAGAAGGCCAGCTGTATTTGCTTTGGTATTTATACCGTTGGCTGGCATGGTCACACTTGTGCAGATTTGAACAATTCACTATGTTTGTGTATTAAAACAAGTATATATTATAACTATTTAAGCCAATTAATATAAATTCTCTATTAAATAAGTAAATTCATATAAATGCATTTGCAATGTTTTTTTTTTTTTGCATTTGATGATTTTATCTTATTTATGTTACATAACTGTGTTTATATACAGTAATAAATATTCAACATTTAATACCTTCCATTCTCACTGTATTTTTTCTTATCTTGCAGCTATTCAGTAAGTGCTCAGCATCCCTTTGAAATTATTATATTAATTACAAAAGGGAGGAATAAGTTATTCCAGTCTGATGCTGATATTTTAGTATTTATAGCGTACACACGCATGGTCACACGTTTTTATAATGATATGAATAATGCGGTTGGCCTTAACCGCATTTTATGGAGGACATATGTACATACTTACTTATTTACAAACTTTTATATCTATTTGAATAAACGCAATAATAGTAGTTAAAAATAATAATTATTTAACTATTTTATGTTTTTTATTTATTAAATATATTTATGAGATTAAAAAAAAAAAACATATATTTTTCATTTAAAAAATAAACATTAAAAAGCAAAAGACAGATTGCAAATAAAATATATATATATAAAAAAAAAAAAAAAAAAAAAAAACCAAAAACAAAGCATGCCATCAAAAATGTATGTACATATATAGTAGGCTTTAAGGTCTACCTCCAGGTGAGATCTCAGATTTATGGCATAAGGCTAGAGGGCCTTCTCACGAACAGTTCTCCGTATTTCGAACCTTTCTTTTGGCCAACATCAAAATTTTTAAAAATTCAAAATTTTGGTTTTTCCCTTTTAGATTAAGCTAAGTAAGTGAAAAATTCATATAATATGATACAGCATATCCATTAATTTTCTTATATTTGGGTGAAAAAAATTGTTTTTTGAATATGTAGAAAATAGAAATTTAAAATGTGTAATCCTTGCTGCGGACCTTTTGAGGTAAGTCATGGTCCCATATACATAGTTTGATTGGCCCCGATAACCCGGCTCTGTGCTTCCACTCTGTAGCCCAGGGGCTGTCGCAGTCGCGAGCTACGCTGCAGCATCTTGTACACATCGTGTGATTGCGTGAAACGAAATGGCCTGCAGGACAAATGTCCGAGAGCTGCGTGCCAAGGGCGTCCACCTTGCATGTGCTTCCCATTCCCCACCTGTGGACCGGCGTCGTTCCCATTACGATTTGCTAACATGACAATGGGGGTCAATAATAAGCGCATGAGATGTGCAGCCACAGCGGCAACTTGCGCAGGAGGCGGTGGACTGCCACGTGCCTGTGGCGGCTGTTCAGGTCGGTTACCCCCTACAAAGATCTCTTCCAAGATTCCGTACTTATCACTTAATACTTCCATTCGCAGGCTGTTAATTTCCGCGCAATTCCCAACCTGGATTTTCGATGCAGCCAGCTTCCGCTGTGCACTGTTTAAAGCTCACTGATATATCACACAAATTGAAGGTCCGCTCATTTGGTGCACGCTATGGTCTTTTCCGTCTGCCCCGAGTCTTGTTATTTTTTTTTTTCATGCATTTGAAATAGTTCGGCATAATTTACTATTTTTTCCGCTCACTGTACGCATAGTCTACAACCCAAGTAAGTGT